TTTGTATATGGGTGTATTGAGTTACGATTATTATGTAATGTCATCAACATATGAAACGTGATCGTTTTACCGATTTAGCATCAGCAAGCCGGGCTCCCTGTGGGAAATATAGACAAAAGAGGTTAATTCCGAAAATGAACCCACGCTTTAAGCACTATATTTGCGTTCTTCCCACGTGGAACTTTTCACACAGCCAAACAAATTTTGCGAACAGCAGGGGTACCATTTGCTAAGGTGGGACGTTATAATCTGGTTATATTGTGGTTTCAATATTTCAAGATCCTAATATAATTTGGCGCGAATTACGAAGCAGAACGTAGATCAAGAATTCAACTACCAAAGTGGCGTACTGGTGGAAAGCTGGTGCTGGCTTGATAGAAGGCTGTTATCCAAGGAGAACTGAGGGGAATACACATTTTCAGAAAATTTCTAAACAATTGTATCTATACTATAAAAAGGAGAAATTTCTGAACATCTCATATCGTAATATATACACCTACTTACGAGAACGTTGTCATGCGATATTGGAATCTTAGTAATTTAGTGAGAAAGKAATACATTAAAAGACAAAAGAAAAAGTTCAGCTTCAGTGATCTTTATTTGTTTTTTAATATAATTCCTATCCCACTAAATCGCTAATGTTCTATTTTCGTATGACAACGTTCTTGCAAGTAGGTGTACATACGACATTCAACTTTCAGAAATTTCTGAACATCTCATATCGTAGTATGTATATGAAACATTCAACTTTCAGAAATTTCTGAACATCTCATATCGTAATATATATATATTTAAGGAATGTCAAACGTTTCTGAACATCTCACATCGTAACACATATATAGAACATATATTTTACAAGAATTTTTAATAAATCTGAATCCGTGAAAGAGTGAGTATATTTAGGTTTTATTTAGTGAAGTATTAAGGTGGCTGGACCCCCTCACGCTTGACTGCTACCTTCCACGTTTGGAACGCTGGTGCATAAACCTGTTTTATCCGATTGCAAGGTCTTAAAGTAAATCGGAAAGCAGCCAAGCGAGATAAGACCGTGCATGGTGCGAAAGAATTTGATGTTATGATCATTAGCAAGCAAAAGAATTCCCAGAGCATCAAATCGTTGGGAAACGATTAATGTGTTCTGTATTTCCCGTTCGCTTTGGATCGCTTTAAATGAGTTCAATGGTCTTGCAATTTTGTGTAATGTTAGTTTAAGTTCTAATTTGTATCCTGACGTAGTTTTGAGAGAAATTATTAGCGAATTTTAGAATAATGGAAGATCTAGTAAAATTGACTAGAAAACTGC